CACTAGATTGCTCAACAGGTATTTTTCAGTACTTACAGCATCTTAACCACTTGAGTCCTCAGTGCCAATTTAAACCAGCACTGGGATAGCAGGTAAAATGGCGCCCGGTCTCAAGGGCTCCTGCGGGTCCTGGTGGGGGTGCACCCAGCACTAAGCCTAGGGCTGAAACAATTAGCTCCTGGTCTTGTTATGTTTTTTACAAATCGCTCCACGTGAGTCTACGTTTACATAAAACTTTCCCCAGGGTCCTAACTTAAAGTGGTTCTAAAGGGAAAATGTTTTGTACCTTCATATATTCTATGAGGAATTGGGAGCAAGCACACAAGAGTGCCCTCAGTAGAGGGGAGCAGCCAAGAGTGTCGGTGGGGGACACCCAGGGGCATATTTACCACAAGGCAAACAAGGCATTTGCCTAGGATGGCATTTTTTAGGGGGGCAGCACTGGAATCACAGAAAAAGGGACATGTGTGGCATGGGGACCAGGTGGGATCCGAGAGAGGCTGCGGACTGTTTGATGGCATTTGCCGAGCCCAACTGGCGTTCCTGGGGATGGCCAGAGCTGTAAAGGTGTGAAGGTGTTGATGGAAGGCTCTCTGGTGGGGGGGGGGTGGAGCAGGGGTGTTGTTGGTCACTGTCAGGCTCTATCTGCGGGAGGGGAGTCTGGTGTTGGTTTGGTCGGTTTTATGCTCTCTCTGCCAGGGAGGGGGGCGTCCGAGTTTTGTGTTGCCTAGGGCAGCACATGGAGAAATGTCGATAGTGAGTGTATTTGACATACTCCCCAACCCAGGGGTGTCCCTATGGTTGGTGTCACCCGGAGCGGTAACACTTGGTGTCACCCCTCCAACAATCCCCACAGGATGGATCGGATCTGTGGATTGAGCATAATGGATTGGAGTCCGATCCATTATGCTCCCCAATCCGCAGATCGAATCCATCCTGCGGGGATCGTCGGCTTGCAACCTATCCAGGTTTAACTGATATCTCCACGAAAAGGTACGTTTTAGAGCAAGCCGACGATCCCTGCAAGATGGATTGGATCTGCGGATTGGGGAGCATAATGGGTCGGACTCCGATCCATTATGCTCAATCCTCTCACTGATGCCAATGCCCCCTCCCACTAACCCAGATGTTGGAGTAGGATTTTTTCCTACCAGTGATGTCAACAAAAGGGTATTCTTCCATTCATTCATGCCAACATTTTTTTCCTCCCACTGACCGCCAACACACACCTGGGGCATTTTTTTCCACTCGCCGGCCAAGGATGTTGGGACAAATTTACAATGCATTTACAATGACAGACAAACTATTTTCTATTTTTATTATTGTATGTTATTTATTATTATAGGTTCAGATGGTATTTATGATGTGTATATAGGGTTTATTTTTTGGTATCTTTTAGCGCTTCACTATTTAGTGTGTGGTATTTATGACTTATTGGTTAAGGCAGAGTGATAGCAGCTGTTAGGATAGGGACGCATCCATATTAAGCGCAGGAGGATATTCCATTTTTTTCAATGCATTTAGGCATCTAGACGTGGTGAAGACGACTTGCTGAAGTTCAAACCGAACATCAGAATGGGGAAGAAAGAGGATTTAAGTGACTTTGAACGTGACATGGTTGTTGGTGTCAGACGGCTGGTCTAAGTATTTCAAAAACTGCTGATCTACTGGGATTTTCACTCAACAACCATCTCTAGGGTTTACAGAGAATGGTCCAAAAAATATCCAGTGAGCAGAAGTTGTGTGGACAAAAATGACTTGTTGATGTCAGAGGTCAGAGGAGAATGGGCAGACTGGTTGCTGCAACATTCAGATGGTAGGGTCAGAATTTGGCGTAAAGAACATGAAAGCATGGATCCATCCTGCCTTGTATCAATGGTTCCAGCTGGTGGTGTAATTGTGTGAGAGATATTTTCTGGGTACTAGTAAGGTGTACCTAATAAAGTGGCCAGTGATGTATGCAACTATGTAACCATTAATGCCAAAATATTTTTATCTGCCACTGACAAGTAAACAGCACTATGTTACATACTCCTGACCTTTGTACTCCGTATGTTGTGTTGCATGGTTTACTCCTGACCCCTGTATTCTATAAGCTTTGTTGTACCTTACATACTCCTGACCTTTGTACTCCGTATGTTGTGTGTGCATGCATGATTTACTCCTGACCCCTGTATTTTTATAAGCTTTGTTGTACATTACATACTCCTGACCTTTGTACTCTGTATGTTGTGTTGCATGGTTTACTCCTGACCCCTGTATTCTATAAGCTTTGCTGTACATTACTTACTCCTGACCTGTGTACTCCGTATGTTGTGTTGCATGGTTTACTCCTGACCCCTATATTCTATAAGCTTTGTTGTACATTACTTACTCCTGACCTGTGTACTCTGTATGTTGTGTTGCATGGTTTACTCCTGACCCCTTATAAGCTTTGTTTTACATTACATAGACCTTTGTACTCTGTATGTTGTGTTGCATGGTTTACTCCTGACCCCTGTATTCTATAAGCTTTGTTGTACACTACATACTCCTGACCTTTGTACATGGTTTACTCCTGACCCCTGTATTCTATAAGCTTTGTTGTACCTTACATACTCCTGACCTTTGTACTCCGTATGTTGTGTTGTATGGTTTACTCCTGACCCCTGTATTCTATAAGCTTTGTTGTACATTACATACTCCTGACCTTTGTACTCCGTATGTTGTGTTGCATGGTTTACTCCTGACCCCTGTATTCTATAAGCTTTGTTGTTACATACTCCTGACTTTGTACATGGTTTACTCCTGACCTTTTTGTACTCCTGACCTTTGTATCCGTATGTGTGTGTTGCATGGTTTACTCCTGACCCCTGTATTTTATAAGCTTTGTTGTACATTACATACTCCTGACTGCTGCACTGTATATGCATACTTTTAAATTCTATAGTCCTAACTGCTTAATACGACAAGCTGTGCTGTACATTACATATTCCTGAGCATGTTGTTTATCTTAACAGTTGTTGCTTGCTAGGTAGTCTCCAACTACTTTATTGTGATCATTCTTTAGGCCCATACAAACAAGTTATTGCATCTATTGATAGGGCCTAAAATGACTACTGCCCAAACCCTTTTTAAAACCACTCCTTTATCCCCACCCCCCAGCTCAATGATCCCCATAGTAGCATCCCCTCTCTTCCCTCACAGTTTGGTGGACACACAAATATCTAAACTACTTAAGTAAGACCAATCTGAATGATCCACTTCACCGGACACAGAAAAAAAAAACTACTGACCGAGGCTAACATAACACATACGAGAATGATTTAGATTTCATGAAATGCATGCAGTTGAGATCATATCTTAAACCAATACCCTACACCTCCCAGGGCATTTGCGATAATACTCCTTTTGAAACACTATGCTTGAATAAATCCCCCATGAGACATTCATTGTCTCTGGTATACTCTATGCTGATCTCTCTCAAAAAAAAAAAAACCACAATCTCAATTTATTAAAATGGAAAACAAGGATCTATCTACCGCCTTTACTGGTATCCTTGTTTTTGTGCACAAGACCATAATAGCAAACCCATATAGAGAAAGTGAACACAGCCGACCTCAATGCACTGTTTAATTGGGCAACAATGTTGCAAATGAGGTTTAATGTTGATAAATGTAAGGTTATGCACTTGGGGACTGAGAATATGCATGCATCATACATACTAGGGGGGTACAACCAGGGGCGGACTGACCATTGGGGTACTCGGGCACTGCCCGAGAGCCCGGGGTCAGTAGGGGGCCCCATGAGGTGCCCCTGGCACCTTTCATAGGCTTTTTTGGGTGTGGTTTGGTGTGTGGGTGAGGACACAGGGGACCCATGATCCCCTATTGCCCGGGGGGCCCCATGAGTTGTCAGTCCGCCCCTGGGTACAACTGGCAAAAACAATGGTGGAGAAGGATCTGGGAGTTCTGGTAGATCACAATAATAATGGCATGCAATGTCAAGCTGCGGTTTCTAAAGCGAGCAAAATCCTCTCTTGTATTAAAAGAGGTATAGACTCCAGAGAGAGAGAGATATCATATTACCCCGGTACAAATCATTAGTAAGACCTCATCTGGAATATGCAGTTCAGTTTTTGGCACCAATTAAAAAAAAAGAACATTGGGGAACTGGAGAAAGTGCAGAGAAGGGCAACCAAACTGATAAGAGGCATGGAGGAGCTCAGCTATGAGGAAAGATTAGAGGAACTGAATGTATTCTCTCTTGAGAAGAGGAGATTAAGGGGGGATATGATCAACATGTATAAATACATCAGTGGTTCGTATAGTGAACTCGGTGTAGAGTTATTCACCCTGAGGTCATCACAGAGGACAAGGGGGCACTCTTTACATCTGGAGGAAAAGACATTTAATCTCCAAACACGGAAAGGTTTCTTTGTGGAAAATGTGGAATAGACTCCCTCAAGAGTTGGTTCTGGCCAGTTCAGTGGATTGCTTCAATAAAGGCCTGGATTCTTTCTTAGATACACAGAATATAACTGGATACTAACATTTATAGGTAACATTGATCCAGGGAATATCAGATTGCCTCTCTGCAAACCCGCCATGTGGAAAAAGGTTGATCCACCTAGAATAGAGCAGTGGCACGCTACAGTGGCCAACATTCAGTTAATGAAACAACTTACTGTGGGCATTAAAGATCAAGCTGAAAAAAACAATTAAAAAATTTGGACACCTTGGTTTCTATACAAAGATTCCATACTGTAGAGATGAGGGCAAGGAGTGGTACAGAGAGCAGTGAGACACACATTTAACCACCTGCCGCCCACCATATAGTACAATGAAGGTGCAAGGTGGTTCTCTTGTTCTGGGACGATGTCATATGACGTCGTCCCATTCTAACCACGCATGCGCGCCTCTGGGAGCGTGCAGCGCGGCGATCGGTGGTGCGCTGTGTCCCTCGGACACAGCGGATCACCGATCAACGGAAAGAGCCGAAGATGTTGGCTCGGTCATGTGATCAGCTGTGTCCAATCACAGCTCATCACATGTAAACCGGGAAATGCCGGTTATCGACATTTCTCTCCTCACAAGCTGTTACGCTGACAGCTGGAGAGGAGAGCCGGTAATCGGCATTCCTCAGAGGCGACATGTACACTGATCATCAGGGCACTGATGATCAGTGTGCCCTGATGATCTCTGTGTAGCCCCAGCGGTGCCACCTATCAGTGTCCATCAGTGCCAGCTGTCAGTGCTCATCCATGCCACCAGCCAGTGCCCATCAGTGGCACATCAGTGCCACATTTCAGTGCACATCAGTCCCACATATCAGTGCCCATCTGAGCTGCCTTTCAGTGTCACCCATCAGTGCCAGTGCCACCCATCAGTGCCAGCCAGTGCCACCTATCAGTGCTGTCAATCAGTGCCACCTATCAGTGCCAGTCAGTGCCGCCTATCAATGCCCATCAGTGATGCCTATCAGTGCCGCCTAACAGTGCCAGTCAGTGTCACCTATCAGTGCCAGTCAATGCCATATATGAGTGCTGCCTTTCAGTGCCCATCAGTGATGCCTGTCAATGCCCATCAGTGCCACCTACCAGTGCCTCATCAGTGCCCATCAGTGCCGCCTATCAGTGTCCATCAGTGCAGCCTATCAGTGCCCATCACTACAGCCTCATTAGCGCACATCAGTGAAGGAGAAAATTCACTTATTTCCAAACTTTTATAACAAAAATTTTCAGTGGTTTTTGGTTTGTTTAAGAAAAAAAATAAAAAACCCAGAGGTGATTAAATACCACCAAAATAAAGCTTTATCTGTCACAAAAAAATGATTAAAAAAAAAAAGTGTTGCATGACTGCGCAATTGTCATTCAAAGTGTGACAGCGCTGAAAGCTGGAAATTGGCCTGGGCAGGAAGGGGGTATAAGTGCCCTGTAGGCTACTGGTTAAGTTGGTTTTATTTTTCTCTCTTCTCTCCCCTTACCCCATCTGCCCTTCCTTCACCTTTGTTCTCCTTTACCTACTTAGAGGGTTTCTCTCCTCATCCTACTCCAGCTACCCATTTATATGTTCAATATTGCATCACATCCCTTCACCCCCTCCCTCAAGGTTTTGATGGGGAAATGAAAAGTGAAATATATGTTTATAGCCTTTATTTACAGGAAAAATATGCACTTATGTTTAGTTATCATATGTGAAAAATGTGTGAAATTATTTTTGAATTGATGTATATTTCCATGTGCATTCAACATTACTTAGACTGAAGAAAAAAGGCCTCACAACAAGGACTGACACCATGAAGTTTAATCAAAGTAGCTGGGCTTCCAACACAGTCCCCACCCTCAGCCACAACCTTCTGAAGGGAATGGTTAAGGGCAGGGACTGTGTAGGAGGCCAGATGCTTCAATTAAACTTCACGGTGTAACTCTCTCGAGTGCGGCTCTGTTTTTGCCAGAAGTGCCGAACAGCAGGGCTGGAAGGGGGGCAGAAGGGACAAGTGCCCGGGCTGCAACTATTCAATGGGGGACAGGGGGCACAGGTGGAGTGGCGTGAGTGACACTGTAGGCAGTGCTGCCCCTAAAGTCTACTTGAGGGCGGTTGAAAATGCCCAGCACAGAATCACCACCAATGCCTAGATCAGAGTACCTTGTGACCTTGAACTTGCAGAGTAGCAGTGGGATGCCAAGTGCTGGAGTGCTTCCTGTGCTCCTGAACCTGGCACTGGGAGACCTCCCCACATGGAAGAAAAATATATTTTAAAAATATTCTTCTCAAATATATGGACATGTATTTGAAATGCTACAATTCTGGCCATATTCATATATATATATATATATATATATATATATATATATACACACACACACATTCACACATGCATACAGTACACATATATACATAAAAAAAAAAAATATATATATATACACACACACATTGTATATTGAAATGTGTTTTTATTACAAAATATATGAAAAATAATTTTTTTAAAATAAATTTCAAATCTACTGTAGGTCTTTAAAAATACAAATCTACATTTTTGGAATGCATTTACAAATATATGTAAAAATATATGTTAAAATGGCTTTTTATATATGTTAAAAAAATCTAAAGAAGATATTTTTAAAAAAAAAAATAGTTTTTTAAAATATATTTTTTTAAATATATTCTTCAGATTTTTTTTAACATATAAAAAAGTAATTTAAGCATTTTTACATATATTTGTAAATGCATTCCAAAAATGTAGATTTGTAGATTTAACCTCTTCCATACAGGGCACTTTTACCCCCTTCCTGCCCAGGCCATTTTTCAGGTTTCAGCGCTCTCACACTTTGAATGACAATTGCGCGGTCATACAACACTGTACCCAAACTAAAATTTTATCATTTTTCTTCACACAACTAGAGCTTTCTTTTGGTGGTATTTAATCACCGCTGGGGTTTTTATTTTTTGCTAAATTAACAAAATAAGACCGAAAATTTAAAAAACTAAACAAGTTTTTCTTTGTTTCTGTTGTAAAGTTTTGCAAATAAATAATTGTTCTTCATAAATTTAGGCCAAGATGTATTCTGCTACATGTCTTTGGTGAAAAAAACCCAAATTAGGATGTATTTTTTAGTTTGTAGGAAAGTTATAGAGTTTACAAACTATGGTATAGATCTGAAAATTGATCAATCCTGAAGTAATGATAGCCAATCTAATTTCTTGAGTACAGAACAGTACAGATATCCCCCAAATGACCCCTTTTTGCAAAATAGACAGTCCGACGTATTTCATAAGAGGAATGGCGAGTTTTTTGAAGTTGTAATTTTTTGTCATAATTTTTCGGAAAATGAAAAAATTAAAAAAATTGTTTTCACTATTTTTATTTACATAATGTCACCAGTGCAGTACAGTGTCATCATATAACTGACTGGTGACAGTACGAACAAAAAAAATATTTTTGATAATTGTTTTTTAATTTGTTTTTTTTATTATTTTTAATTTTTATTACATTTTTTCTCTTTTTTTTAAGATTTTTTTTCATATTTCACTATGACCAAAGTAGTATAATGTTACCATAGTAACATTGTACTACTTTGGGGAAGTGATCAGTATTTACCTGAATGACATTGATTCATTCAGGGTTTTTTTTCTTGTGGTTAACTGTGATTTGGCCACAGCTAACCACATGACACAGCTGGGTTGTGATTGGCCTAGCTTGTGCATGTGATCGCTTTGACCATTCACAGCTAGACACACTTGTATACAATGGATAGCATGAAAGGAAGCCATCCATTGTATACAACTGTCATGTGACCTGCTGTGATTGGTCACAGCAGGTCACATGGTACTGGAAACAGGGCCGGTACACAGATCTGTCATCGGCTGTGTCCGAGGTACAAGGCCGGTGACAGAACGCGCCGCAGAGCGGCCCTGCGGGCAGGCGCACTACGCATGCCTGAAAGGATGCCACCCGTCCACCCGGAGGGACGAGGTGTTTTGCCGGCCACCTTTGTGCTATTGGCCGGGCGGGAACCATTTTAAAAACATACAGTATATTTCAAATGTATTTTTAAAAATATTTTTCATATATTTTGTAATAAAAACGCATTTCAACATACAGTGTATATATATATATATTTTTTTCTTCCATATGGGTCACATCACATGTCTCTGTTAGGTGGTGTGATCTTCTCCTCACAGTTGACTGTCATGGCTTGGCCTCTGATGTGATGTCATTCAGAGGCTGTGAAGAGAGTGTGGCAACCAGGAGGAAGCATGTTGGTCTGATACACTGTAGATAGGTAGGTCAATAACAAAAGAGAGCAAGCTGAGGAGGATAACTTTGCTATACTTTATACATTAAAGAAATTCCTTGTGAACTGGTTAAGTCCTGGAGGAGTAGGGGGGTAATGGTGGTGGTGATTGGCAAGTCCCCCCGGAAGACGTGCGTGCGCACGAAACGCGTAGGAGGAGCCAGCAACGCCGTGACGCCACGCCGCCGGAGCATCGTGGAGCTCCGGCGGCCATCTTTAACACTGGACGGTTAGTCCATGCTACCGCTTGTTTATTTACCGATTTTCACTCTTTAAGAATCCTCATTTATTACAATAAAGTATATACCTACTACACTATGGAGATGTCTCTGCTTTGACTCCCTTGGGGAGTATTAATCCACAGCCATCCACTTGACCACTGGAGAAGGAGCCTTCACAACCTCTATAGAGCAGTCCATAGGCTATCACCTGAGGGGTACTCTGGACCACCCTGATGCCCTATTAATAATATCCAGGATCACTGAAGGGAAGATACTGGATTCCAGACATCACCCAGACCGGCAGACGACTTCAGGAGAAATATATATATACAAACGCCCATTATATTGTGCGTTCTGGTGAGTGTGCATTCTTTCTGCACTTTACCTCACAGCACCTTACCACCAGGAGGATACAGTTATATGAAAGCACCTGAAGTCACTTCAAATCACCATATGAACTGTTCACTTAATGATTTATACTCATAGTGTGTCTTTTTCTAGCACTGCACTTTTGATTTATATTGTTCTAAGAGTAAATTAGGTAACACTGTCATTGGCCAGTAATGCAGCAGAAATGAACTGCCATTGGTCATTAGTGCACAAGTGGCCAGTGGCAGTGTTAATATTTACCCTCTTGATTTCCTATTACTGGTCAGTGGCAGTGTTTATTAACTTCTTCATGCTGCATTACAAAGGGTTATATTAACACTATCATTGGCAACTAATGCAGCATGATGGGATTAATCAGCCCCATTAATGATGCATTAGTGGCCACTGGCAGTTAGTTAACCCCTTCATGCTGCATTAGTAGCCAGCGGTAGTATTAATTAGCCCTAGTGACCAGTGGTGGTGTTAGTTAACCCCTTCGTGCTGCATTAGTGGCCAGTGGCTGGGTTAATTCATGCTGCACCATGAAGAAGTTAATAAACACAGCCACTGGCCACTACAGCAGCACTAAGGGGTTAATTACCACCACCAATGCAGATGCATGTTTTGAATAGCACTGTCACTAACCCTGAAGGAGAATTTAAATAGCATAACACCCCTAACATCAATGTAGGTGTTATTATTGTGAAACCTGGCACCAATGCAGGGGGTTATTATGTTGACTGGCATCAATGCAGGGGGTTATTATTGTGTAACCTGGTACCAATGCTGACGTTATTACAGACACTGGCACTAATGTTTGGCATTCTTATTGAGTAAATTGGCAGCAATGTGGAGGTTTTTATTGCTGAAATGTGCACCAAAGCTGGGGGGGACGCAATTTGCCATTTTTACCCTGGGCACCAGATGACCTTGTCCCGAATGAGCTCTTAAAGCCAGCATCTGGTGCAGAGGGGACTGGAGAAACACATTCGGGACTTGGAGCGGTGCAGCCCTTTTTTGTGCAT